TTACATATCTCACGGAATTGTTGCGGGGACTAAATGAGTTCACGTACGCACAGAAGTTAAAGGAGGCCGGGAAGGCAATAAGCACTATGTAAACGTTTGCTCTACTGTTAGTTAGACCAAAATAGGGCTCAGCATCTATTCTATTCCTCTCTTTCTGTTTTTATAGATTTAAGTGCTAATCAACCTTGCTTCACATAAAGAGATAGATTACAGTGGAAGGACTTTTGGTAAATATTGTCCCTCAGATTTGAACTCCTTCCAATTTACCTGCTAAAAAATTCACAGTGGTCTATCATCAAGACATCTTTTTAGGGTTCAGCCCGGTGGTGTACTGGTTAAGTTCGCGCACTCTGCTGCGGTAGCCTGGGGTTCACTGGTTCTGATCCTGGGCGCGGACCTACGCACCGCTTGTTGGGCCATGCTGTGTCACGCGTCCCACATATAAAGTAGAGGAAGATGGGCATGGATGTTAGCCCAGGGCCGATCTTCCTCAACAAAAGGAGGAGAATTTGCTGTGGATGTTAGTTTAGGGCTAATCTTCCTCACACACACACACACACAACAAAAAACCCCCCATCTTTTTAACGCAAGGGTTGACAACCTGATAGGAACCTCTTTCAGTTTTGTTGAAAGCAAAGCATTGGAAATACCTGTTTTCCAAAATGTTTCTGGAACTCGAGCTATTCACTCCTTCAATTTTTAGGAAGAACACTACATAAGGCTTCACTTGACTTGTCAGAAAGCTCTTAGAGCCTGTGACTCTTTCCTTTAGAGGCTCCAAGTTTAACTCAGTATTCTCAGAGAGGGTTGGGAGAAATGGAATAAATTTCCCTGCTACATCTTGGCCAACAAAATTTTTAATCAGCCTTATTAGTGGTATAATTTGCATAGAATAAAATTCACCAATTTTAAGTGTAAGGTTCTGAGCATTTTGATAAATGTTTAAAGTTGTGTAACTACCACCAAAATCAGGATTTAGAATATTTCCATCACCCCAAAGTGTTCCCTCGTGCCTCCTGTAGTCGATTCCCTTGGAAGGTTCCTGGCTCTGATCTTTGTGTTAGTATGTTTTACTTCTAGTAACTGGGTAAATATCTAGGAGTGAGATTGCTGGGTTATGTGGTTAGTGTGTAACATTTAACTGTATAAGAAACTGCAAACTGTTTTTGAAAGTGGCCTACCAACAGCAATCTATGAGAGTTACTGTTTATATCCTCTGCTATCATCAGTAATTTTTCATTGTAGCTATTTTGTTGGGCATGCAGTGGTTTTACTTTGCATTTTTGTGGTTTTAATTTGCATTTATCTAGGTATTAATGATCTTGAGCGTCTTTTCATGTATTTATTTGCCATCGCCATGTGCTTATTTGCTTTATTGTCATTCTTTGCTGAAGTTTGTTCAAATTTTTTTCCTCATTTTTTAAATTGAGTTACTTACCTTACTATTGGGTTGTAAGAGTCTTTATATATTCTAGATCAATTATTTTTATAATGTGCTTTTTTATCACATGTTTTAAATATATTTTTTAAAAACTTGGAGCTGCAGATGTAGCTCATCCAATTTATGGAAGATATCCTTCATATGCCCTAATTGTCAAAGCAAGGGGCCTTGTCAAACCAATCAGCTAAATCAGACTTCCTCTCTTGTCAGAAAAAATTTCTGACTTCATTTTTTAATTCTAGCAAAAAAAATCAACGTTTCCCTGTGTTAATCACCTTACATCTGAATTCCAACTCCAAGATAGATAGGGTTCAGGTCATAAGTTTGTTATCTCTTAGATGAAAAAACAAAATTGTCCTCTTTCAATGTTTCTAACCAGTGCTCCTTCTTTTGCTCCCATAGGATTACCCTCAAGAGTGATGCTTTTTTTTGGGTAAATAGTTGGGGATGGAAGTGCCAGCATTTTAACTGAAATTTGTCTTTACTCCCACTCCACTTTATAGTATTTCTATATTTAAAATATTCCAACACAGGGAAAAATACCCATTTAAAAATTCTTAAATAAATGTGTATCCAATTAAAAAGATAAGAAGCCTTTCTCGGACATCAATATTCTGACCCTTTTGTTTAGTTGGCGTTCAAAAGTCTTCCCACCCTGCACCAATGCCCCACAGTAAGATTAAGTAGATTAGATAATAGAAGATTAGAGAGTAAGGTGTTCCTTTTTTCAAGAAGGAGAACACTGCCAGGAAAGAGGAGGTGGGAAGGGGGAGTCCAGGACAACTCAAGCGTTGGGGCATTTCAAGCAGGGAACTTTTGGGAAGTTACACATATGGAAGTTGAAGAAATGGAAACTGATTCCCTAGCCACTCCTGCATACCCCTTGGACAATTGCATGAACTCCCAGGAGTATTCATACCACAGTTTGAAGACTCTTGTTCTAAACTAATGTGGTTTTTGAAGGGGTAAATGTTAGAGAGACAATGGGATGTCAAATATTCTAGGAAAGATAATTTATTTCCTGCTGGAAGAGAGTGAGAGTTTCCTAAAGGGAGAACAGAGTGATGTCTTTGAGTAGTCAATGAGGTTCATAACCCGAATTTATTCAAGTCTCGTTGATGAGAGATTTTAATGCACCAGCCCCATAATTGAAGTGTCTCTATATCTCTCTCTGTCTCTGTATCTATCTTTCTCTCTTTGTCTGTCTGTCTCTCTCTCTGTCTCTGTCTCTCTCTGTCTCTTTCTCTATCTCTGTCTCTCTCTTTGTGTCTCTGTCTCTGTCTCTCTCTCTTTACATATATATTTTTTCATAGAAGGTGGGAGTGGTCTTATTTATAAGTACATGTAATAATTTTATTATTATTTCAAATCAGTATCTTCATCACACTGTTTTTAAGAGTCTTTGATTAGCATTTCCCAATATGATTTTCTCAGGGACAACCTCAATCTGTATCAGTGGGAGACCTAATCATTAGAGTATTTAATTAAGAGTTTCTTTCAGGCACTTTTCAAAGAATAATTTAATATTTGAGAAACTCCACCTTATTTATATCTCTGGAGTTGAATACTGAATAAATCTTGACAGTTGTCACAAAGACTCAAATAGGCCAAACATTACAAAAATTAGTTTCATTTATTCAAGCCTTTAAAATAAAATGCTCATTTAATATGATACTTACAGAGGCAATAAAATACGTAATTTAATCAGCTTTTCAAACTCATTTAAAAATAGAGAGCTGTCATTTTAAAAACCTATTTTTCTTCCCTCTAGAACATTAGGGAAAAAAACACAACTCACAAGATACCACATCATGTAAGAAAGCCGAGTTCTGTCTCACTCACTTATCTTGATCAACAGGGAGGAAAACCTGCTTGCTACAGCTGCTGGCATCCAGGCCCTTGACTTTGGGTGTGTTGAAATTATGACATGAATTCAGTGTGTTTTTCTGCACCTGCCTATTTTCTGTTTGATGAGGAAAATGTAGGAAGTACTTAACAGAGAGACTGAAAGTCTCCCTTTTGCACCATTAGAAGCGTATTCTTTGACACTTCCTAATAAGAAAATCTGTACCACCTCTCCCCTACTATCCTTTAGTAAAAATCCCTAGTCCCTTTTAATGTATTTGTCTAATGGTGGAAAAATATAGGAGCCTTATTCAATTGTAAATGTGGACCTTGTATAAAAAGGTACACATATTACAACATTTAAAAGCAGAATCCCTCACCCCTCTTTTGAAAGCTAAGTTAGGAGTTGATGTTCATGGTGCTGTACTGCTGAGGTGCACCACCAGGATCAAAACTCACATCACCCAAATGCAAAAGGCCCTTTGGAGCCTAAACATTTGAAAGGGAATGTATGAGGCAGTGAAAATGTCCAAATGGAAAATGAAACTAAACCACTATGAACTGAGTTAAGAAGATGCCCACATCTTGCTGCGGAATAAGGAAAGGAAAATTAAATTAGACGCATAATTGAGAACCCAACACTCGGCCAGTGGTTTTCCCCTTGGCATTAAACCCTGCTGCCAATGATCAAAACCTCCTTGCTTCCTCCTCTTAGACCTACTTACAGCATCCAAAAAACTTACTTGGCAATGCCCTTCCTACTTCTGGGGCTCTGGGCATGTCCTTTTGTTCCTCAAATACTGTTTAGCACTCACTTCCCCCATGGCTCCCTGACTTCATTTTTCTTATTGCTACTTACTTCTGCACATCTAATTGACTCTAGTCACCCATTGCAAGTGGGCTTCTGTTATTTGTGCTTTTTCCATGTTTCTCCTATTATCTTGTATTGCATTGAATTCACTCACTAGAGTAGTAGTGTTTCTTCCAATATTTCTGCAGTCTTTGCACCTCTCGCCACCTCCCCACTCCATGCTGTCTATTGTAGGGTCTTCCTATGAATCAAATAGCTGTCATGTTAGCCAATGTGGACCCGCCTCATGCAGGCAAATCTTGAGGAAGTTCCTCTCCAGGGCTTGAAGAGCTCTTTGCCAAATTCAAGCCATTTGAAAGAATTCTGTTTTCCTAAAATATCTACTGGGTGTCATTGGACTCTGGAGGCAGAGCAACCGATGTACAACATCCCTGATGAGTTATGGGCTTGATTGTAATTTGGTTATTGAATTCCATTTAGTAACTCTTTTATTTTTACTTTTGGACGATCTCTGGAGAAGGCTAATATTTTTTTTTAAATATAGGAAGTCATATATTTGCCCATGTTACATTACAATGTGATATAAATAAACAGGTTGCAATGTTTTCAAGATAGTAATTAATAAGTTAGTGGAAGACATTCATTTCAGTCTTTTTATAATCATAAATACTGGAAAATTCTCAATCATTTTATAATAATAATTCATTGCCTCTATTTTAACATACAAAAAGTCAGGTTCTTATCTCTGGGTTATGAGATTCTGGGTAAGAATTCAGTTCAGGAGTTACAAGGTTCTCAGTGCTACCTACGTCAGGTTTAGCCTGAGCTCTGAGGATATTTTGTTGGGCATATTACAAAGACTATATATATATATATTTATATACATATATATATAAATATTTGTCACATTAAAGATTTGGACCACAGTCACTTGGTACCAAAACCAGTACATGGATTCCATTAGAATTTAAATTTTGACTTTAACTTTTTCCTGACAAATATCCCATCAAAACAAATAATTAAATATTCTTATAGCTGAAGCATGTTCTTTAGAATTCCTCTTTTTTGTCCATTTGGTGTCTACTTTTCATCTAGTTGAAAGCCTTCATTCACCTTATGGAGCGATGACTCGGGGACTTTCTCGTTGTCTTTGCTCTCTGGAAATTTCTCATTGTTTTTTCTATAATATTTCTTGTATCCAAAATAAACTAGAAAACAATACACAGGAGGTTAAGCAAATTTAATAATAATTATCTGCAAACTTACTTTGGATAGTGATTATAACATATGGCTCAATATAATATGTGCCTACTTAGAGAAAGCAATCACCATTCTTAGTTCCACGACCAGTCACAATAAGAGGGATGACTGCTCTTCAGGAGGACAGAGTATACAACTTGAGGAGAACTTGCTCAGGGCAGTCACGTCACTTCATGCAGGCACGAGCCTTGCAGGTAGTCCTCATCAATAACAACAGCAAGCATGCATTCCATACCTCCCATTTCCCAGTTAATGTGCGAGTCCTCAATAAATATGCTACAAGCTAAGGTGCAATGTCCAGGAGCTTGGTGGGTGTGGGAGGACTTGAGCTGGAATAACGCTGTCCCTCCCTGCCTTCACTCACTCCTTCCCAGGATGGAGGAGCCTTGGCTGATGGGTAATCAGCCTTCCTCTTTTCCGTGAAGCTGCTAGTCTCTGGTGGCAGCCATTTTTCAGCATATTTTTGAGGTCAGCTCACCTGGATAGACTACCCTGCAAGGTGAGACCTGCAATGTATGTGTGTCTATGTGTGTTATGTGCACATGTGTGAGGCAGTGGAGAAGGATGGTGTTAACAAACCCATTCGGTTGCAGTTTCGAGCCCTATTTTCTAATTAAGTTTTATCTATTAAAAAAAGTGCTATTTTGTGATCTAAATATCTAATTTTTTCTTATACCTCTCATTTGGTTCCAAAGTCAACAGAGGAAGAGAAAGTATTACTTATGGAACCCTCAAATTCCAATACCTCACACTTAAAAACCAATTTTAATTGGTTTTTATGTATCAGACCAATGGGTAATAATATCGTCTATCTCACAGGGCAATTCTGAACATCAAGTGGGATAAGATAGTGAAGTGCCTGGCATGGCTCTGGGAGAGGAGTAAGTGCTCAGGAAATGGTACTGTCATTAGGATACACAGCTGAGAGAGACAGTGTCCTGCTTCAAAGATCTTAATATGTCAAGATCAATATCTCCTTGGACTGGTCCCTGCACTTCTAATAATGTTAGCTTTGAAGCCACTGAGCTAGTGAATCTGTTAAATTGAGCTTGTGATGAATTAAAATATCCCAACATTTTATTATAACTGTTTTGATCTGCGAGTCCCTCAACTTATACATATGCCGCTGATTTTATTCAACCAAACTTGCTTTCTTCCTTTCTTTCTTTCTCTCTCTCTCTTCTTCTCTCTCTTTCTCCCTCCCTCTCTCTCTCTCCCTCCCTCCCTCTCTCCCTCTCTTTCTCTCTCCCTCCCTCCCTTCTTCCTTCCTTCCTTCCTTCTTTCTCTCTTTCTCTCTCTCTTTCTTTTCCTTCCCACCCACCTTCCTTCCTTCCTTCCTTCCTTCCTTTCTTCCTTCCTTCCACCCTCCCTCCCTCCCTTCCTGCCTTCCTTCCTTCCTTCTTTCCTTCCTTCCTTTTCTCTCTCTCCATCTCCCTCCTTCCCTTGTTTCAAAAACTATTTAGACTTCTACTCCTATCACCAAACTACGTTTCCAGGCATTGAGTGTACCTCATAAAGATGCCTCACTCTTACTGCTAAATCTCTGGAAATGTATCAGACCAACACTGGTGCCTGCCTCTGCATCATCCCTTCAGCCCATCTACTAATCCCTTCTGAGTGAGTTATTCAACTTACTTCAACTTATAAATCTACTTAATGGTACTCTCCACCAGTCCACTTTCTTGGCTTGTCTAATTGACATCACTGGCTAATTATCGGGAAAAATCTCAAGGTGCATCAAATTGGGTGTATCTCTATCATACAAGAAAACAAGGTAATTAGGCCATGGACCTCTGTGTCCCGCAGCAGCGATAAATTGGCCGAACGTTTCCTGTGGATCCAGAGAGTCCTCCACTAGAAAGGAAAACTCTGCTCCGAGAATGACATTCAAGACTGTAGTGCAGAAAATGATTAACACCCACAGGCGGGTTGAATACCCAATGGAGCTCAGTAAAAGGTAGACCAAACCGAAACAAAACTATCTTGGGCATTTCATAACTTAACATTCACATTACTGTGTCATTCACCTTCACCATACAATCCCCATTAAAATGCCACGAAGCTTATCAAAGCAGTTTCTTTATTAAAAAAAATAGAATTTAAAAATAGATGTTAAACATCATCTGTCCTGGGACAACAAAATGTAGAGAAAAGTTTCAATGAGGTCAGTGCCAGCAGGTGGTAGGTCTAATGGATGAAGGCTATACGCCACATCAGAAAAAAATTAAGAATCAGGTTACCTACTCTAGTACTTGAAATAAAGAACATTTGCTTCAACTGTTTCAACTGCATTGGTATTAAAAAATACATATATATATATGTATATATGTATACACACACATATCTGTCTTCTGATGTAACTTAGCCTGATAAATTTGCATACAATTTTCTGATAAATATCGTATATTTACAAAGCATATAAAGATGATGCTTTGAAAAAACTTACCAGTCCAGGGTTCCTGGAAGCATGGAGGAAAACACACAGTACATTGTTCCTAACAGGTTAATATGCCTCCCTAACTACTGAGGAGAAGGAAGTCAGTGAGGAGAATTGAACTCCCTTACTTTTCACCTAAAAATAATCTTTAACTAGAACTTTTTGGTAAATTACAATTTTTTCATCAGCAGTGGGGAAGTCATGATAATATTATGGGTGGCTTTTTCCACCCATTTATTTTAGTGCCAGGAAAAGGGAATTTAATTTAATTTATATAATTCACTGACAGAAAAAGGAAATTAAAAAAATGCCATATTAACTACCCCAGGATTTCTCAAAGAAGAACATCATAATGAAATGTGATTAGCATTCTTCCTTACTTCCTAAGAATACTGCTGCAAAGACGAGCTGGAAAATGCTGTAGATGAGTGGGAATGTGAATATGTAATTGAGCTGCTCTTGGGTGAAGGAGAGCTGGACTATGGTGGAGCACAGCTGAGTGTTCTGCATCCCTGTCTCCAGAGCCACTGTTCGGCACCTAAAAGGAATGTTAAGAGAATATATGTTTTCACTGGATTTTTTTTGTTTGTTTTGCTTTGTTATTGTATAATATTAAAAGTAGATATAACGAGAACAAGTATGTGTGTGTATATATATCTGCTTTTAATGTATATATATTTATTCCATATATAATTTTATTTATATATTCTTTCTCTCTCCCTATATATATACACACACATAGATAAAATCTTGCTCTAGTCACCTTTTATGATTGTTCTGATAATGAGAAAATAGATACAAAACTCTATAAAAGTTAAAAAGGCATATGCAAACTAAAGCTACTATTGTTATTATCTTCTCCTTTTCACATTTAAAAAAAAGTTGAAGATTATAACATCTTTCTGTCCAGAGAAATAAAGAACATCAACTAGCTTATTTTGCTCCCTAAGCAGTGGAATCTATCAATATCTATATCTATAAATGTATACATATACATAGAATATTTATTTATATTATATTTAATATATGATAATATTTATTAATAACTAATTTATATTTATTCAATATATAATTAAATTATTGAATAAAATATAAGTCAAATTATATATTGAATAAATATATATACATTAAAAGCAGATATATATATAAATACATAAATATATATAAATAAATATAAGTATAATATATGTATAAATAAAAAATACATACATAAGAAAGGAGTGGGCTCATTTATATTAGTGTTCCATAAATGACTAAAGGGGTTCATTTCGCTCTTTTCAATTATGTCCTTGGTGAGAGTGCAGAGCACAGAGAAGAGGATGAGAAAACACTCAAGACAGAGTATTTGTTATAGTTGTTTTATTGTGAAATTGGTTTTGTTTTTCTGACTAAATCTTGATCAAAATCTGCGAGGTAGGCATTACTGCCCCCATTCTACAGATAAGAAAGTCAGAGAAGGAGTAAGTGCCTGCCCTAGGTCCCACGGTCGCTAAGTGGGAGGCCGGAGTGCAGGCCCAGGTCAGCCTGACTCACGTGTCCCACTCTCTCTACTGTCCTGCACGGCTCATCTCTTTCCCAGCCTCCTACATGCACTGGTCCCTACACCTGCTTTTGTCCGCCTATTGAATCAGAGGGGCTGGAGGAGAGGAAGTGTCTTTACCCAGTACCAAACCCATAAATGCTAAATGCAGTTCTAATATTCAGCACCCTGGGGTGATGAGTTCATCCTGTTGCTGGCTGGAGAATCTTCATATATTACAAGGCCAACCCAAGTGCTTTTGTTAAAGTTGTTCTTCTTGGAAAATAAGGATGCACGACAATGGAGGAGCTCAACCTTGTATGGGGAACGGTCCAGAAGAATTTGAACAACAGAGAGGCAGGCAGTGTTTTCTTGCTGGGGGACTTGCATAATTTAGGAATGAATGTGTCTACTCAGAATGATGTATTCAGAAATAGGGTGAATGTTATTATAGGTGAGATTTTGAATTTGTCACCAGTATTTACAGCTATTATGTGTTGAATCGTGTCCTCCCAAATGCAAACACTGAAGTCCTCATCCCTAGTCCCTCAGTGCCTTATTTGGAAGTAGGGTCACTGCAGATGTGATTCATTAAGATGAGGTGATTACAGTGCACCCTTATCCAGTATGACTGGTGTCCTTGTGAAAAGGGGAAATTTGGTCACAGAGACATGCATAGAAGGAAGACAATGTGAAGAGACACATGGAGAAGACGGCCATCAACAAGTGGAGGAGAGAGGCCTGGGACACATTCCTCTCACAGCTCTCAGAAGGAACCAACCCTGCCGACAGGTTGATTTTGGACTTCCAGCCTCTACAACTGGAAGACAATAAATTTCTGTTGTTTAAACCACCTTGTTTGAGGTACTTTGTTACACTAGCCTTAGCAAACCAGCACAACAGCTATTATAGAAGAAAATTCCCAGTTCAATTTACCAAAACACCATACCTGTGCCAGGGCTGACCAGCTATTCTAGTCAGAAAAAACCCTAGAGAGTAACCGGCCACAGGAAATATCATTCCTATAATCCACAGTTTGGGAGCGATGATCCAGGCACTTTGGTACAGTATTCCTCCCACCACAGCTGTGACCACAATAAGGATTGCGCCAGTGATGGACCCAATCTGGAAGAAAGACACAAGCAGACCCAACCATCATGATAATGAAGTCTCATCTCTGTGTACTCCTCACCCTATGGCTGCTGTCCGCCCACCAGAAACGCTGGCGCTCGTTCCACATTTTCATTTTTAGGGAAATAGGACATATAGCGTCCATGCTCAATTAGCTTGAAGAAGATGTTTTAGCTCGCAAATTATCTTTGTCAGAGAGGAAGAAAACCCACTCAATAAGAACAAGAAGGCCTGGCTTTCAGATTTAACTCCTGCCCCCCTTCCTTTGGTAAATCCCAAAACCTCTCTGAGTTTTAGTTTCTTCATCTGTAATTAAAGATGAAATCTTGCCTTAGTCACCTTTTATGATTATTATGATAATAAGAACATAGATATAAAACTCTATAAAGGTTTAAAAGTCACATGCAAATGAAAGCCACTTTTGTTATTATTTTCTCCTTTTCACATTTAAAAAAAAATTGAGAGATAACATTTTGCTGCTCAGAGAAACAAAGACCACCAGCTATAGCTTATTCTGCCCCCTGATCAGTGGAATACGTCTATGTCTATGTCATCTCTCTCCATCTCCATGTCCATAGCATCTAGCTAGAATATAGTTGGTGAAGAGGAATAAATGGTTACTAATTATATATATATATATATATATTAGATATCATCTACCAATTGCCAGGCACCGAACTGACCATCTGGATACAGAGATAAAAAAGATATGATCTATTTTCTAAGACAGCTGTCTAGGTATATTTTATAATACAAACCCAAATAACAGAGATAAGAGCAAAGCGCTCTGGGGGTACAGAGTACAATAAAACCAAGAGGTGACATTTGAATTGGGTATCTCAAAGGGGGGATAGAAATTTGCCCTGTGGATGTGAAAGAGAAAGGCATTCTAGAAGAGTGGACTGCATATCTAATAACTTTAAGCCCCCCCTAGAAGGGGGTTTCTAATATAAGGAGAAAACCAATTTAGGAGATGGAAAGACCTATTATTTCAGCTCACACAGTGGAGCATTTGACCCGGTGGCCTAGGGCTTGGGACACTTACCTTAAGTATGAGCTTGGCTTTTTGGGGCCATTTGTGATTAACAAACATTCCAATGGAAACAGGAACAACAAGAGTGACCAAAGACGTACCTAAAAATGACGGAAGAGTGATTTGGTCAACAGAACACATAGCACAGGAAAGAGGAGAACAAAAGAGTAAGCAGCCTGAAAAAGACGTAGATGGTGTTTCAGGCTCTCTTCTTGAACACATAAAGCAGAAATGAAACAACACCAACGACTCTCCTTCCTTACCCACTCGAGTAAATAATTTAATATTACTGGTGGAGAATTGATAATATTGATGATATAAATCCTTGGTTAATTTTTTAGAGTTCCTTACACTGCCAATCAATCTCTTTTAGTATCAATTTGTCAGCATCCTGGCTTCGTTGGTTTTTGCATCTTTACATCCTAGCAAAAATATCTTTTCAAAGTTTGTGTGTGCATGTGTTCTTGGGGTGTATGTAGATGATATTTTACATCTATCTGTTACTTCATGGTAGTATAAATTTTTTAAAAAAGTGAAAAATTTTCCAGGCATTCCGAAGCCTATTGACTTCTAGTTAGGACTGACTTTGGTTACTCAAATCTTCAGCAGAGAGGTGAGAGAATAGGTTGAAAGCATGCTTTAAATTTTCTGTGAGATAATATGTTTGGCGACCTCTCAAGTAATTATAATTCTTTGCAGGAGCATGCTCTCTCAGCCAGATAAAAGAGTCATACTTCAATTTCACCATGTTAAATTTACTGATATACTCGTGACATGTGGTTTATTTCTCCATATTATTTAACACTCATTTGTCCAACAGCTGCTTTGATATACTATAGCACCAACAACTTCTAACTTCTCATGGGCTGTTTCTTTTTCAGACATCTTTTAAAAGCAGTAGGAGAAAGTGGAACTGAATAATGAAATTTGGAGAGTGAAGGTTGCTTAGTACTGGAGTAGATTGAATGAGGGCTGGAAAAAGGCTTCTAGATTCCAGGGCTGTAAATATGAATTTAAAATGAGTATAATAGTGATGAAAACATACTTTCTTTGTAGGCTTCTGGGCCTCCTGGCGATATAAGGGTTAGCAACTACTTCTTCCCAGAAATTACTCCATGGGATTAAGTAACCTAAGGATACCAAGAGCAGGAAAAAAAAAGAAAAAAGATGAGAGGAGAGAGCAAGGAGAAAATGGTGAAACAATGTATGAAAGAGTCGTTGATAGACGTACTGGAAAAAGCCCCCAGAAAAATCTCCTCTGAGTATCCTTAAGTCCTGCTCCTTTGGGAGGAGACTTCCTCCACTGGGTCTGCAGACTCTTCCCTAAATTGTGTAAAGTTTGTGGGCCTTAAATTAAAGCTGTCTTGACACAAATTGTACTGTGTTAGCTTAAATCTAGGTACAAATATTGTGCCTGGAATGTAAGTGGGGTTAGGTTTTGGTAACATCTTTACCGGGTTGGATCTGTGAAAATGCAGCCCATCCGCCATGTTTGGTCCCTCTTGCTAAGAGCCTTTGTCTCCTTGGGGCAGCCCAAGGCTTCAGGATAAACACGGAAGCAGGACCACCTGCCAAAATCCATAGCAGCATTGCATTTCCTCTCCTGCCCTGATGAAGCCAGATACAGCTTTTCTGAGACTTGAAGTTGACCGGAAAAGACACTCTTTGCCCTTGGTCACAATCCCGCCTGGAGAGGTGGGATGTTGTAACTCCCCGGTGGGCGAAAGTTCCCGCTCTTCTCTTCCCCCCACTCTGTTTTCCTTATCCTTCCTGCGTCTGTGCTTCTGTGTCAAAGGCCTGTCCATATAGATGAGAAAGCATCTGCCTACAGTCACACCATTTGAATCATAACTTGGTCTTAAATCAAGTTTACACAGCAGGTATAGGAGGAAAGAAAGGTAGAAATAAAGAAGAGAATGAGAGGGTGGTGAACAGAGTCACAGGGTGGAACTTGGAGCCGGATAGACCCGGAGCTGAACCTTATTCACAAACCGTGGCAACTGGGCACATTACTGGACCCCTCTGAGCCCTCCTTTTGTGAGATGAGTAGAATTCTGTTTATCTCACAGTGCTGCTGGGAGAATTAGATGGTGAAGTGGGTATATGGTTCACGGTACTAGACACAAATGTAGGCTAGAGAGGAGTAGGAAGAACAACTTGCTGCAGTGTGTTTTCAGTGGTACCAGCCATGCAGCCGCCGCCTCCTCCATCCGGATGTCATCATCTGAAGGGGCTCAGAGGGCATTTATTGAATCATCAGAGCACCATGAGCACCGTGTGGAACCTGTGCCAAAAGTCCTGCCCCACCCAGCAGAGTGGAGAGCAGACCAGGGGCTACTTCCAGCTCCCCAGTCATCTTGGACAAATGAAACACTTGAGCCTTAAACATCTTGTGAAGTAATTGGGTTGTTTGTTCTCTATATTAAAGCACTAGAAAAACCAATAGCAAGAAGGTTAGGTTGGAAAATAGGCCTGGGCAAAATGGTGAGTACGTGGAGTTAATATCTTTTTTTATCAAATTTTCATTTAAAAAATTTTTATCTTTTCTTCTTCTCTTCCATTTTCTTTTTTTTTTTTTGCCTTTTACCTCTTCTGTGATGACCTTTTCCTCCATAGAGGTGCTAATTACTCTTTTGCACTTTTTCTTCCTATTAAAATTTATTCACATTAAAAGATGTGATATAAGTCATTCACACCATAGTTAGAATCACTCAATATTGCTATAAGGCATTTTCCAGAAAAGAGTGAATATCAAGAGGAGAATATTTTAAGGCTTAATTCTTTTCTTAAACATTGAGTAATAAAGAAGTAATACTCCTCAGTCAGCTGCAGATTCTTTGAGAGGCCTACAATGTACACCACTCAAACAAACTACATTCTTTAACTCTAAGGAAGATGTCTTCCAAGGGAGCAGACTGAGAGTTAAGCAACATGAGGCACAAGCAAGTGGTTGTGGAGGGCCCCCTACAACCTGTTTGCAGGAGATTATGTCTGTTATGAAGGAGTTCCCCTGGGGTCAGTAGAAGGACCTTGTACAGGAAAATCCCATACTTGAACAGGGTGTGCCAAAGAGGACCACTTTTTTTTTTTTTTTTTTGGTTTAGTGGCTAGGGCAGGAGTGGGGAGAGAGAAGAGATGATCTGAAAGTATTGCAATACAGATTGTCACCAATTAGCATTCCCAAAGTTTGTTCTAATTCACTTGTGTAGACTCTGAATCATGTTTTAACACAGGAACAATCTTTCTTAGAAAAGGAAGAGATTTTAGACACCATCCAGTCCAGCTTCCAATGCCAACAGGAATCCCTTTTACAAACATCCTAACCAGTAACCATTTAGCCTTTGCTTACATCCTTCCTTCAATGGGACACCCACACCTCTTTGAGGCAGCCATCAGGGAGACATTCGTCTCCAAGGTCAGCTGAAAAAGACAATGTAGCATGCAATGTTCCTGGTGAGTGGTACTGATGTCCTATTTCACCTACATCTCATCTTTCCTGATGATAGTTCGATGGGGGAATTGCCTGGTTTGGGTAGACCAGGAGCCATCTTGTTCTTCCTTTGACCCCATGTTACACCAGCAACTTAATTTGTTCTCCCAGAAATAGAAAAAAACTCCTTTGGACTAGGGGTGAACATCCTAGAGTTAAAATGAGTGGAGACAGAGTCATAACTAGCAAATTTGACCCCTGAGGCACGACACACAACCTGTGCCAGTAAATCAACTTCTGAATCAAGATGTGGCTCTCAGTTGAGTGTTACAAACCTGTGTTTCATCTGGTAGTTTCCTATGGCCACGCTCACGATTGCTCACTTGGTGCCCTATTTTTAAATCATTAGTGGAATGTTCTTTGTATTTCTTCAGTTTGAGTGTCTGGGTGCAAACTCCTGTTCCCATGAACTATTTGCACTCTGAGTTAAGGAACAGGTGGAGCCTCTCATACATTAGCAGCTTCAGCCTCCTCAGGTCGGAATGGCTGTGCGGAGGAATCCCTTAAGTTGGCCCCTCTCCCTGGTGATTTCAATGGAGGAAAAAAACAGGTTCTTCCATGGGGTCAAGGTTTGGCATTTAGATGCTGCCAACCTTCGTTCAAATGCAGAGGTGACTTGTAATGAAATACTAATTGGTCATAAACAGCTGCTGGTGCAAGAGGTAAATATCAGCTGGGTCTGAGCCTGGCCTAAGAACCTAGCTGGGGACAAGCAGAGAGTAGGAGGGCAGTATTCATAAGTCTTGCCGAAGAATGACTTACCTATGTTATTATAGGGAATTACGATCGTCCCAGACTCGACCCACATTTTGGTATAGGTAAAGAGGCACAGCGGCATCATTCCCAGGGCCAGCAGCGTGGAGCATGTGGTCATGCTGACGCTGAAAGGAAATGGGAAGGTGGGCAGGTTGAGTTTTCTAAGGGAGAAGTTGTTTCATTTTTCAATTCATGATTAGAATGTCCTTCAAAAGACTCTCAACCAGCAGCACCATCCCGTCTGAGGGACAGAAATACACACGTGCCCACGTTTGTGCAGGGCCTGGCCTCGGGCAAAAAGCTGAGATCCATGTTTGGTGTCTTCCAACTTCCTCTTGTGCCATCCTCCCTCCCCACTGGTTCTCAAGAATCAGAGAAGATATTTAATGGCGGGTCAAATTCATTGTTCGACAAGGTACAAGGTGCTTGGACAGGCCACCTTTTGAACTTCCAATAAGAGTACAGCACACACGTTTATACCAGCCAAGACTTCAGGGGCTTCGCCGTGTCTGTCCAAGTTGGGATGAGAGGGGCCTCCCTGGGCCCTTGGAGGAGAAGACAAGTTCAAAGGAGGAAGCTTCAGTGTCTTTCCCTAAAGCAGACAAATTATTACACCATTGCCCGTAGCCTGAGAAAAGAAGAGAATGCTGACTCAAAAAACCACAGAAAACATGCAACCAGGCCTAGATTCTATTCCTGCTGAGAAATTTACCAAATGTGTGTTCACAAGACCCAGGATCTGGTACATTCCTCCTGAGAGCATCTGTGTTTTAGGGGATGGACCTGGCTGAGTAGGTGGACTTTGGTTTTCGATATGGAGGAATTAATATGGAATGATGCTATTTTCTGCACTGTGACAGGATGGAAGAGGAGGTTTGGGTAGTGGGTCTTCCTGTTCCTATCATAGTGCCCTGTGCACAGGGTCACATTCTCTGCCCGGGGAACAGAGCTGTTAAACGGCTGGGCTAGACACCAAACGCAGACACTGCCTGGGTTAGAAGCAGGTATGGCCACTTCCTACATGACTTTGGGTAAATTACGTGACTTCTCTTTGCTAGTTTCTTTATCTGTAAAATGAAGATCATAATTGTTGCCACCTCAATAGGCTGTGAGGATTGAATGAGCCAATGAGTCCAGTGCTTAAAATAATGCAAGGCACTCATTAAAAGCTAGTTATTGTTATTACCAATCCAGCCACAGTGTGTGTGTGTGTGTGTTGTGTTCCAGCATAATACGGTATTAGGAAACTAGAGAAAATTTTCTGAAAGGTCCTTTCTCCAATAGCTATAGCATTGAGACTATAAAAGTAGTAATTTCTTAAAGGTATTATGTGTGGACTTGGAGGAAAATGCTAAATTATCTACACCACCCACTCCCCCCAAAACAACAGAAACAACCATGCTTTACAATGCTAAGGAAAACAGCTGGAGGTGAGGCATTTCATTTCAATGCATCTAAATAAGCACAGTTTTGGCAAAATAAAGGGTGGAGGCATTGTTTGTCAGGGGCTTTACTTCCCTAATAGTCTTTTTTTTTAAAAAAAATCAGGAATGACTTCACTTACTACGCGTTTAAAAGATTTAGAAAAAAATACCTGTCTTAGTAGAGATAAATCATGCAACAATAACCAATGCTAGAGAAGTATGTAAAACTTTTCTAAGAAGTTCAATTTATTACAGTGACAGATTAACTTACTTTAGACACAAAATAGGATGCGAAGGTAGAGTCCTACACCAGAATAATAAGTTAATGTGCTATAATTAGTGCTTTGTCCTACTTGTAGTTAAAGTACTAGAGTTTGTCAATGATCTTCCCCTCCCTCTCTTCCTTCTTCACTTCCTACACTGTCCTCTTTTTTTATCTTTTATTTTTTAAAGTCAATGAGAATGGATTTAAAGTTATCCCCATAATAAAATCACTTTAATTCTACTCCATCCAATATGATTTCTAGAGTGGAGAGGATGGGAGGGAGTCTGGAGGAGCGGGGCAGTATTCATTTCCTGGATCATAGTGAAGAGAAGGCTGGGAGTTTTTTGTTTTAAACTATGAGAACAACTTTTAGAAGAAAGTCTGTTTCTCTCCTTGTTTTTCCTTCAAATTTCCTTGTGAAAGTTTCAATTCTGAGTTATTGCTAAGACAATTTATAAAGTTGTATCATGGTTTTGAGTTTGGCAAGAGCAGTTTCTTCAAGGCCGTGAGGAGGGACAAGACAGGAGTTGGAGAAGGAAATGGGTTAGATTTGGTGGGCCATCTCGACCGTGAGGGCCCGCAGAGGGACAAGAGAGTAGGAGGCTGGAAGATAATGCCATTTGAACTAATACAAGAACAACACCGAACCACTCAAAATGAGATGAAAAACAATTCACAGGGAAATAATTTTAAGGAACAATGTAGCAGAATAAATTAGCAAAAGAAAAAATCATTTTACATGAAAAAAATCAAAGTTTATAAAGAACACAGATGTCAACAATGGAAATACTACCATAAATTTATATTGGAATAAGAAAAAATGTAAGAAAAGAAAAAATCTCTTGGCTTTGGCTCTATTAACCACCAGGGAGATTTTCTTTTCCTTTTGGAAATAAAAGAAAGCAATCAATGAGAGTTCAGTGTATGTTGAGGAATTGGGTGAAGTCCGTGATAAGGAATGCAGAATATTGTAATCATTTTAGAAATGAAACACCAAGTTGGAAAGATCAAAAGAAGTGTATATAGGTGGTGCTAGAGAGTGAAGATGTGATAAGTGATAGAAATAATGTTGAGCAAAGGTTAACAGTCTGGACAAGGATAAGTGGATAGGTCTGGATTCCAATTCTGACTCTGACATGACTGACTCTATGCCCGCCGTCAAGGTGAGGAGCCTTAATTTTATCACCTGTCAAATGCAGAAAATAATAGTACTGATCTCAGAGGATTATTCTGAGGATTAAAATGCATGTAGGACACTTCTGTACTGTGCGTGGCTCATAGTAGTGCCTACTAAATACAGCTAGTAAGTCAAATATAAGCTACGTGAGAGAAACAAAGATTGGTAACTTTGAGGGAAAATAAAAGAAAAGTCAAATAGTGTTGGGTTAGTTCTTAGAGTAGAGAGCAGCTGCACATTTATGTGGTAGAAATGGAGGGATTGCCTTGAATATGTGATAAGCTAGAGGGTCAGGGATCTTGAACAACTGAGATAACAGCCAAGGTTGAACTGGAAGGTGAAAAATGAACATCTGGCCAAAGAGCAAAGGATGTGGTAGGAAAATCTAGAAACTATTAAATCTACAAAATAATAAAAGGGAGTGTAGAAAGTGCACGGCAGTGAAGGAATTGGGGGAAACTGAGGAAAGTCAACATAAGCAGGGATTCCCTAAAGAAGTGGGAAAATGAGGAGGAAAGTCCTTGTGTGGTGTGGCTGAGGCCACTGCAAAGAAAACAGTGATGTGAAAACGGGGACTCTCTGGGGCTAGAGCAGACACAAGGGGGTGGGAGGTCTCTGTGTCCCCCGAACTGCAGGCCTGGTCACCAGCAAATTCACCTGAAAACATCACCTTCGTTTCTCCCTGAAACGTATCGTGCATCAAGTGCCCACGGCACAGCGAGAACAGGTGGAAACCTCTGTGCACGGATCAGATTCCCGCAACAGCTTTCTAGGCTGCAGTGGTCTGAGAAGGAGCAGAAATATCACTTGCTGTATTTCAATGAGCAAGGATTCAATGAGCAAAGTGTGTTATTTTTATTTTTTTTAAGTCACTAGAGATTGCAAAATGCAATGGCTCCCCAGGTTTGGAAGAAATAATAGGGTGAGGGGGAGGTGATTTGGTTTCTTCCCCCAGGAACCACACCCAGGAAAGTTCAAGCCAGGCAGGAGTTGTTGTGCTGGCATTGTGTGGCATCTGCTCAACCAGTGCAGGTACCTGTTGGTATGAACAATTGCATCTTGGCTGCTGTTGCTAGAGCTCAAATGGAAATGAAGAAGGTAAAGTTCCAAGAGGACAGAATTGGAAATATGAATGGTGCATAGGATTGTATCTAAGTTATCAGGAGACCAGTTATCCAGTGCTTGCTCCAGAAGAATAAAAGGTGTTGGCAATCTGTTTCCTGATAGCTGAAGCGTTACTCTTAATTTGCTGTAGAGAAATATTTGCAATTTTCCCCCTACCATAGGCAGTGCATCGTCCTCATCATACATCGTGGCATAATTTAATGATTATGGGTTATTGTGATAAACGTTATTATTATTTGCTCCGTTAAAATACAGTGATGTCTTCTGGGTGATTTGTTTATAGAGCTGTTTGTCTCTAAAGTAAACGATGGAAAGTCTGCTGTGCTTTGGGAGTTGTCCTCTGCTTTGGAGGCATTTTGGTCTTCTCTCTTGAGGTCAGGCTTTTGGGGCCACTTGCCGCTGCGGGACACAGGCCTGCCTCTCCAGCACCCCTCCCCACTTCTTGTTTCTCGTCCTTTGTGCTGGGAAATAGCACAACAGAGCTTTAGAATTTAAAAAGAGAGTAAGTAGGTCCTTTGTGAGGAACGTTTATGAGATTAAGTGAGATTTATTTTGGGTGTACAAAGTCTTTTACTGGATCTTGTTTGAGTTATGGATAGGTGGGATTGCCAGAGGGGTGACTATTGGACTGGAGAGGTGTTGATGTTATTTACAAGACAAGGGGGAACTGTGGAGTGCACACTTTCTAGAATAAAAATTAAAATTTTCAATGCCATGCGTCCCATTATTGGTCTTATTCTGACTTGCTGAAGGATTCATATACACCGATTCAGCTGGACGTTTTCCACCACGGTTTCAAATTCTACTTTTGGTTTTCATTTCTTAATATTTTTATTTTTTACAAGAATTGTTATACGAGGTAGACAGGATTACGTAATCATCTCCTGTTTCAAGAGAAATAAGATTTCCTTAAAACCACAGAAAGGTGTGACTTGGAGCTTTTAAATTAAGTTTTTATACTTTTAGCCCACAGAAGGGAATCCGTTTCACCAGCCAAACAACCCAGCATCACACATGCTTTTCTATCTTATAAAATGATTACATGTGCGGCATTATGTTGAGGTACAAGACTCTTCCGTTTTGTTGAAAAGTTATAAATATTATGTAAAAGCTGTTTAGTGGAAGTCAAAGCCCCATATTCAATTTATTGCAATCCCCTCGGGTTAGCTGGTGCTAACCTTTAGAATTCTCACCTCTGGGTACCTAGTTCCTCAGGTCAAACTAAGTTAAAGTCTAAAAAGAACTTATTGCTATACCGTCGTTCACAGATTAACTAACCATGAACAGCACTTATCATCCTTGGTTCTTTACAGGACTTTCCTTAAAAAAATCTATTGCAAAGAAAATACAGTATTTCCTTATGTGAAAAATATGTAATGTGAATCTATATAGCTTGTGTGGCCTTTCTAAAGCTTCTGGAGAAATCAGTACCAGCTGAGATGAGGTGGCAGGCTCCCAATTACTCACAGGCACTGGATCAACATGGAATACTGTCTAACATTTTGTAATTGTGACATTTCTACACTTTGAGCTTCTCTCTTCTGAGTTGAGTAGCTGGTGATTAACAGAGCTGATTGCTTGCTGGACAATATTTAATAAGCACACGTTACATTAACACCTGGCGGGTTTGCAGAAATGCCTACCTTTCACAGGAAATGAGGAATTGTGAGGTAAGGAAGAAGACATTCGTCTATTCAACTTGCAGCATTAAAATTCTCAGTCTCGTCACATTAATGCTTCGTCTTATTTCTATTAGTTTTTTTCCCAGTGCTAGTTCGGACTGGCACAGGATGAATTGGGCAACCACTGCAATTTAGATTACTCTGTGGGAAGCAGAGAAACCATTTTCTGTTTATTTTATAGTAAGGTAAGCATAACCTTTTTAAAAAAGCTGCCGCAGGTTTTTTTCTTTTAATACCAGTAGAAGTGAAGCAAATGTACAAATTCTTCCTTAGGTTTTATGCAAAGAAAAAGCTTTTCCAAAGAACTGGCTGTGTCCATTGTCTCACCGTAGATTCTAATGTTTAATGAACAACTTGATTCATTGCACTCAGAGCTCTTCATCACCACAAAGAAACACTTTCTTTCATTTGCTGATACCAACAAGGAAAACTTTCTCAGCTGCAGCTTGTGGCTTGGGAAGGATTTCTTTTTCGAAAAACTTTGAATCTTTTCCCAAAGATAAACAGCAATTATCCAACTCCTTGTTAACCGATTTAGATTAAAAAACACAGACACAAAATATAACCCCCAAATTTCAACAGCTAAGCAGCTGTGCAGGAAGGCAAGTGAATGCATTTATTTTCTTCTGTTTAATTCTTCAGCCATACCCCAGATCAACGGCAGATCAGACGGAAATTCACAATGCCAGAGGCTTCCCAAAAGATTAATTCAATGTGATTGCAGTACGGGGAAGTTTAGATATCTTACCTCAGGTCCATGTCGCCATCAACCCAATAGGCCAAGATGTTGGAGGCAGTTCCTCCTGGACAGCATCCTGTGATGAGCACCACTACAGCTTGGATGGGGAGGATGCCAAAGGCCACTGACAGGACGAATCCTGTGAGGGGCATGAGTCCAAACTGACAGAGGAAGCCAACACATATGCCCCACGGCCGCCTTATGTGCCCTAGGAATTTCTTGATTTCCACATTGCATCCCATGGAGAACATTACCAAAGCCAGGAGAATGGTCAAGATGGTACTGAGGACCACACTCAGAATGGCATTGAAATTTCCAGAAGTTACTACACAGGATGTGCCATTGCAAACTGTTGCATTGGCTGAACAGCCCGTTGAATTATTCATTGCTGGGTTTGCTGCTCTAGTGGTCACAGAAGTCCACAGAAGCTCCAATCCTCCACTCCTCACTAGACAAGTAATGCCTAATCCAACCACGTCAAACTTTTAAACCCTTCCTAAACATGTCACTTGGTGTCTCTTTCAAAAGCCAACTCAGAGAGGCAATAAAAAAACAATAAATGCTAGTATGTCAGTTTCAAGAGGTAACATTACAACATAGCACAAATTATGAATCATAAAAGTCCTGCCAAATTACTGGTCCAGATAGAGAATTATAATTAATCATTTATTGGCGTGATAATGAACCATGCCATATAAAAAGAGCTGTGTTAATGTTTAATGCTGGGAAGTTTTGTTAAATAATTTCAGTTAAGTGACCCTTAAAATCAACTCAGAAAATTACAGAACATTGTAGGGGATGAGCCATAGGACAGAATGTTGCTCACTCATCTCCTTTAAATAGGGGAGATGGGACCCTGAAAAGTCGAGTGCCCTATGCCAAGTTAAATTGCAAAATAGTGTCAGACTCTGAGCTGGAACCCAGACCTTCAATTTCCTTCTGCAGTAGTTTTCCTACTGTATCAATCTGTCTTCTCCTATCGGTCTATAGTCTCATAAAGTATATGTAAGTTTGGGAAACTTGTAGGGCCTTGATGCAAACCTACGGGAGAGTAACGTTCAGGAAGACAGTATGTTTTCTGTGTTGTCTAGTGGGAAGGCAGCTGACTGGTAGAGCCACCCTCAATTACTTACACACACAATTATGTATGTGTCACCATAGTAAGGAAGTGCTTTATAGGTAGAGACAAAACAATTATTTAGAAGGATGAACCTCAGAGGATTAGGTCAAAGGAGCTCTTTGTGCTTGGAGTCAGGAATTGAAATTAGAATATTTTTTTTGGTGGGGGGGCACAGTCGGAGTTTCCAAGGGAGGTTGATTTTTGTAGATGTCAAATCGTCAACCTCATTATGGGCAGAACACTGCACTTGGTGTATCGGGAAGATAAAGAGGTGGAGGAGAACTTGTTCCTGTTCTCAGGGGTTTGTAATCCAATTATTGAGGATGCAGCACAAGAATAAAACTGAGTATTTTGATCATGATTCACAATTTACAGGACAAATCCTAATTTATTATTTAATTTTGTCATCTTAAATTAAGTAGGATTAGCATCCCCATTGTACAGATGAGGACTCGAAGGTTGAGGAAATGAAGTGCTTTATTCAAGGTTACCCAGCTGATAACCGGAAATACTGAAACTCACTTTGGCTTGGTGGAGATTTAGAGACATACCTTAGAACACAGCTTCTCAAAACTCAGTGTGCGCACAGATCCCCTGGGGGCCTTGTTAAAAAGCAGATTCTGATTTGGAAGTCTGGGGTGGGCCCTCGATGTCTGCTTTTCTGACAAGCTCAGAATTGATGGTGATGACGCTGATCCAGGGACCACACTTTGAGTATCAAGGTCTTAGAATCCCGATGTCAGGGTGACGACAATTGTACCCAAGCTGGTGAAAACGGAGCTTACTGGTCACAACTGAAAGCAGCATTTACAGAGCAACTCAATGTGGAAAATTAACCTCCTGGTAACTTGAGTAAACATGAGCTGTGGGCAGTAGAGTGGGCCACCAAGCAGAGGAGTCAATGGAGCCAGATGTCCCAGCTCCCGGGGGCCTAGGGGTGATGTCCCTTTAATCTGGAATTGAGCTGCTGGAAAAGCCCTGGGCCATCTGCTTAGAGGGATGGTGACTCACACCCACTGTTGGTGCAGCTCCTGTCCCAGGAGTGCTCCTCGTCAGCTGTCACCTCCACCGCCTGCCTTTCCTTGCCTGGGTGGGCTGCCGTCAGCTCTGCCTGGCTGCCTGCCAGCTCCTGGGAGATCCTCCTGTCTCTTTTATCACCCTCCCCACTCCCACAGCGAAATGATTAGCTGGGTAATTCCCACAGGAGGTCCCCTCCCACTCCCAGGTGTGGAATGACGTGGCCCTGCCACGAGGGCCCTGCTGGCCCTCTCCTAGCATCTCCTGACCTCTGGCCTACTTCTGGGCTCAGGTGCCAGCCAGCCAAGGGCGGATGAGGCGAATGCTCCCCCTGCTGCTGCACCTTGGCACCTGTCCGCGCTGGCTTTTCTCCCCCAAGCCCGGGTGAGGCTGAGTGCAGACCTGCAGATCCCCAGCCTGCCACATATGCAGTGTTGATCTGCTTTAACTCCAAACATTACCTGTGAGTCTGGAAGCTAGCCCAGGAGCTACCCGCAGACAGCCTGTTTTTACTTTACCGGGTCTGGTCTGCAGAGGGAAATTTGAGGGCTGTGGGTTGTGGGGAGCGATTCGGGCTTTTCCCAGGGTGAGCTTCATGTTTTGGCCATGCTTGGGGTTGTTGGGTGAAAAGCGTACTGAGTGTTTTATCCACACTGCTGGAAGCAGCGAGGAGAAAGTGAAGAGAGCAGAAATCAGGTTCAGAACAAAGCTCTTCTCAAATTTCAGACGACTAGCTAAGGAGATTTGAGGCTCCCAGGGGCAGAATGCTTTGCATATAGACAACTTGCAAATGAGCAGTCTGTTTGACTAGACAGAGTGCTACAGTTCTGGTTAAAAAAAAATGTGCCAATTCATTTCTAATTTTCACATTGTTTTTACATAAATTTGCACATTATGCTCGAGAGGCCTTATATTCAAGTATTGGAGTGATTCACAATTAATTAATACCCTTAACTTCAGCTGCATTCAAATTCAGGCATCAGGCCAGGATAAATGAGAAATATCTAAATATGTAAAAACCACTCTCTTTAATTACAACACAGAGTCGGGGAACAGATGCACACCTGAGTGCGCCGTCAGGAGGTTGGGGCTTGATTTCTATTTTCATCTTTCTCAATCTTTTCTGCTCAGTTTCTTGATGCCCTGGGCTCAGATACAGGCATCTTCAGGAAATCAGCAGCTGATTCCTGCTCCCGGCTCCTGGGTGGAGACTTGGTGGGTTATGGGTTAATTTGACTGCTCGGGCTTCCCTTTGGTCCTGTGTATCACTTTGGAGAAGTGAGGGTTTAATAACGTTCCAAGGTTTTTGCCCTAAAGTTCACAGGAAAAAAGACAGCTTTCTACTTCCTATTGTGTTTCATCAGGGATGGCTCTATTCAGATCAACAGTCATTTGGGATTTGAGTGATTCTGTGAACAGTTCCCTCTGACTGAAATGATGTCCCTCTCTCCTTTTTCCCCATTCCTTCCTACAGACTGAACTGTTACAGAACCTGAAAGTCCCACAATGAGAGTTATTATTTGGAGTCTCCACTGACCCTCTTTGAGGCAAAAATACCCCAGGGAGAATAGCCCATGAACAACTAGCTGCCCCTTCATCCAAGTGGTGTGAAAGGAAAAAGACAGCAAAGTACCAGTGAGAGAAAAGTAGTGTGAAGGGGTTTAGAGGGGTGTAGAATTTACTGCGTGTAAAAAGGACTGGACTTGGCATCAGAAAATCTGAGTTCTAGGTCTGCTTCTTTTGGAAATACTGTGCTAGCTGTTAAGGCTTTTATTAATGAATGTGAAGCCTTCTTAGAAGTCTAGAGGATGATACAACCACTTTTGAAAACTATTAAAGCTAAATATACACGTGCCCTAGACCCAATCATTCCAGTCCTAGGTGTAGGTCTCAACAAGTCCATAAATGGAGTTCCTGGAAAGATGTGAACTAGAATGTTCATAGGAGCCCCATTCATAACAGCTCCAACCAGGAAACTGTCCGAATGTCCATCAGGAGTGGAATGGGTGAATGTATTGTGATCTATTCACATAATGTAATTCCACACATCAGTCAGGATGAATGACCGACCATGACAAAGCTAATGTTGAGTGAAAGAAGCCAGATACACAAGAGCACATACAAAAACGAGCAAAGCTAATCTATGGTGTTTGAAGTCCGGATGGTCATTACCTTTGCAGTGCGGGAGAGTGGAGACTGAAAGAGGTCACGACTATGCCACACTTCAGTATAAAGTTAAAAAAATCCCACTCGGGGAGGGGGGCGGGTTCTGGTAAGAATAGACTTGGGGAAGATATATGTCTCTGCCTAGAGAAGGCAAGAGAAAGAAAGATAACACTAGAGATGGCGTCCTGGGAGAATAAAGAAGGAGGTAGAAGTGGGGATGTGGAGGGAGAAGGACTGGGATGGAGGGAGGGAGATGGATATTTTGCCTTCACCATTAAACAAGGGTTGGCTCTGTTAACCATCCCATGGCTTAGTAACTTTGTTGTTATCAATTAAACATTTTCTAAATGTCTAAGAACACTAATCTCTGTGAATTTTTTTTTAAAGATTTGTTTATTTATTTTTTTCCCCCCAAACCCCAGTAGATAGTTGTATGTCATAGCTGCACGTCCTTCCAGTTGCTGCATGTGGGACGCGGCCTCAGCATGGCCAGAGAAGGGGTGCGTCGGTGCGTGCCCAGGATCCGAACCCAGGCCACCAGCAGCGGAGCGCGAGCACCCAACCGCCAAGCCACAGGGCCGGCCTTCTGTGAATTTTTAATAAAGTACTTTTTGGTTAATCAGTTCTAGATAAACCTTCAAGCAAATGAAGGCAATGTTTGTGTCCTTTTTGATTCATTTGTAACTCATAGTCTTAAAGTGGAGAAGTGATTCATGTATTTTGCTAGTATCTCCTGTTGTCTCTTGTGAACTTGATAAAACGTTCATTACGTACATTTTTGACTTTGTATTTAGAATCTTGATGAATATTACATTTCCAGGAATCCTTGACATACCTTGTGGTAGATTGTATTATTGCTCTCAGTTAATTGCTTTCTACTCCTTTGTAATGGGATTATACAGCCACGCCTATTGAAATTGACCTGCAGCACTTCCCTGTTGAAGGAGGTACCCAATTGTTAAGCTTGGGTGTCAAAGCCATGTGAATTACTTTGACCAAGTAAATGCTAGTGATAGTGATGGGAATGGAACGTGCAAGCAGAAACTCTTAAGAGTCATTGCGTGTTTGCACCACATTTCCCCCTCTTTTCCCTTTGCCATGGGAATGGCAAGTCCTAGGTAAGAGCTGCTCCTTCATCTATTCCTTGAATGAGAAGACACATGGAGCCGAGCAACAGCTGCCTACAGCCAATATAAGTAAGAGGGAAACCTTTGTGTTATAAACCACTGAAATCTGGGGGGCTTTTGTTACGTAGTACAACCTAGTAAAAAC